TAAACAGAGGTGGAGGCCTCCGTTTTCAGTTGTCCCCCTCCTACAGCGCGGCTATTGCCAGTATCACTCCACCCCCTGTTAACAATAAGTGTTAATTAGGTGTCAACRATAGCCATGTGATGTGAGTATCAGTCACATGGAGGCAGGGCTTAAAAGCCTGAATTTTGCCTGAAACTCTCAGACTGAAGAAGTCTCTTGGAGGAGAGACGAAACGTTTCATTAGAGAAGAACCCGTCCAGAAGACCTATACAATTTTTTTCTTTTTGATTTTTGTTTGGCCAGCCCGACCACAGTTGGCTTGGACTTGTTCAACCCCAGCTTTGGTTGTGTTTGCTTTAAGCAGTGAGCAACCTTGATGTCAGCGGGCATCATCATATTAAAATGTGAAAATCTTCTTGTTTTATTTATTTATTTATTTATTTATTTATTTATTTATTTATTTATTTATTTGAGGCACAACAATGAACTACACTAAACTTGAAGGAAAACTCCAAAAGGCTTTACTCGGCCATCCAGCTGTGATGCTGAAAACCAGAGGCAAATCAACAGAGAACGGTAAGCAAGCTAATGGTAATGTTAGGTTGTTGTTGCTTGGTAGTTTTCTACAGTTGTGTTTAAACTTGTGTGGAAAAAACGTCACAGTCGTTGCAAACAATTGACACCCCCGGCCAGTGAACCAAGCGACGTGCAACAGTAGCTGACAACAAATTGGGCCCGGCAGGTCAGCACTAATAGAACCATGGGTCACAAGGGCTAATTCAAACATGGTTCAGTTTAGGTTAGGGTTAGTTGTGTACTGGGGATTTAGGGTATTGGTCAGAGTTAAATCACAGAGTTGTTGTTGGTAAAAACACGCACAGCAATTTTACTAAAACATCATTGTTGAGGCGTTTTTATTATGTCTATTCCTTATGACCTTTCTGAGCTAAATGGCTCTTAACTCTCTGGCACTCTTAACACTTAGACCAGACCACAAAGAACAATGGCTCTTCGGTGGCCCAGATGTGGTTTGCCAGGGATGGTCCATGCAGGGGCCTGCACCACTTATAGCAAACCAAAACAGTGTCAGTCGTGGCATGTCATTTTTAAAACAGAGTCATTATTACTTGCCATGCCAGCAGTGCCAGCCTGACACCAGATCTGGCCCATACCTGTCTGCTGTGTGGGTTGAATATTTAATCACTCCAGTGGGTTCAAAGTCTTTCTCAAGGACTTTTTCTAGAAGAACATGTTMAAAAGACAAGGGCTGGCCACCCTGAGGAAACTCATATCCACCATGTGACCATAAGTTGAAATACGGACTAATAAATTGAGAGCTTTGGCTTTCATGTCGGCTCCATTTTCATCACAACAGATCAGATTTGCTGAAATGAGTTTCTGCCGTAGATGACTGAGCTCAGCCACAGAGACAATGTAAGAAGTGTCGTACGCCAGGGGGAAGTTCAGAATCGACCCTCTGCTTTTCTGCGTTGGAAGGAAGTTAGCTGACGTGATTCAGGCATCTGATAAGAATGTCTTCTTGCCATCTCCGTTTGGATTGGCAAGTGAAAAAATAAGAAAGAAATTTTAAGCATAATCACATTTTTAGGCAACACAACACTGGGGCTAATGAACTTTGTCCAACGGTCCCATTGTGTTGGTTTCTTCAAAGTGAAACTTGAAATGCAAACATCTTCAATTGCTGCTAAAACCCAGTGTTTTATGTAACTTTGTGAAACTGTCTCCTTTACTAAGAACATTCGTAGAATTTAGATAATTTGCTCATGTTTTAAACATCTTGTCAGAATCTCATTATTCTTGACAGATGCTGAACTGTTAGTTTAAATTGTGTCCAYATGTTCCTTTTAAAATCATTCATATGTGAAATAATAAGTTTTCACATAGTAAATTAACATGTAAAACACAAATTTGTACACTTATTTTGTGAATTTGTGGCATTTTCAATTTTATTTAATTCCACATTGTCTCATGATGTGAAAACTGTGGTGACTACGTTATTCTTCTGTTAGGGAGGTGCTTTTCTTTTTTTTATATTTCTTCTTTTTCAGGTAATTTTGTTTTATTCTGCTATTTTTTGTATAATMTTTTTTTATCATTTCTGTATAGCTATTTCTTTTTTTATTTAATGTATTTTACAGCACTTGAGCATTGACCTTTTTCAGATAATGTTGTGCATGTTCACTGTCAGGATTTTGTGATGCATGGTGRTCTATTCAATACTTCTTTCATCCATTATCTTCACACGCTTCTTCCTTTCTGGGTCGCAGGGGTCACTGGTGCCCATTTTTCAGCTGTCTGTGTGAAAGATGGGGTACGCCCTGGACAGGTTGCAAGTCCATCACAGGGACATGTAGAGACAAATGAGACAAACAACCATTTATACGCGCACTCACCCTTGGGACAATTAACCAATTAGCCTAACATGCATGTTTTTAGTCTGTGGGAGGAAACTGGAGTACCAAGAGTAAACCCACACATGCGCAGGGAAAACATGCGAACCAGTTCAGGATTTAAATCTGCAACCTTCTCTCTGAGAGGCGACAGCTCTACCAACTGAATCATCGTRCAGTCATGCCTATTTCCAGTTCTTTGAAATTCAGTTAGTCTAAATAATGTTTATATCTAATTGCAACAGWCCACAATGAGGAAATTTTGTTATCACAACATAAAATATTAATAAAAAATTTAAAAGTATAAATAAAGTAGATAGAAAAGCAGGTGTAAAGGACCGAAAAGACTACAGTTCAACAATCAACACCAGAAATAGCTATAAATCGGTGCCACATTTTACGCATTTCAGTAAAAAGGTCACTTAGCTACACTGCTAAATGTCAAAACTTTGTGTTGTGATGTGATTGGACAATAATTAATTAACTATCAAATATAATATGTAGGCTGCAAAATCCTGGTTATGTTCATCATGTCACAATACAGACTGACTGTTGCAGTGCAGAACATAATGAAGAGTTTGAAACCTGCATAAAATCTTTAATAACATTATGATTACTGATTTTGCATAAAGTAGCAGCAGTTTTGATCCTTGTCCTATTCATAATGCTTCTTAGAATCAAGTTGCAAATCTGCATGCATGCAACAAGTCTGGAATGATGAAGAAATGTATTCTAAAACTAAATGTATAACTTACAAATATTACATCATGTAGCTTTTTACAGACTGTGCAACTGAAAACCAAAGTGAAAGCTTTGGTTTTCAGTKGGTTACCGCTCCTTTAATTGTTTAATGGGATTAATTATTCTGTGAGAAAGCAGAGCGACTGAGCTCTGTTGCTTTTTCACAGGCCAGAGATGCCTGGCGGGGGAATCCTATAGATTTTCTGCACGGGAGTGCTTAGGGGTTGTTGGATTAGTGTTAGAAGAGGCTCTCTTTTTAAGGAAAAAAAACTTGTTAGCATCTTAATCCACAGACTCACTTTAAAGTACAAAAAGAGCAAGGCCAAAAAAAATGTTAAATACAAGACAGGATGTAGTTTTTCATTCATCAAGACTTGAGCCTAAAGAARAGCGTGTGTTGGGAGAAAATGTGTTGGTGGTCTGCAGCAATGACAGCCTTGCATGTGCATACACACATGGATACACACTTTTAAGCCCCTAACCCTTTCCCTCCCCCCAACAGCCTTCTAATTGGACTAAGGGGGAAGAAAGAAAAAAGGGGTGGTGGTGGGGGTGCTATTGGGGGTAGAAGCATGAATGCGACAAAAAAACAAAATCCTGGGATGTGAGATGAACTAGTGTGGATCTCCATTTGAGAGAGATTTCTGTTTCCTCTGTTGCCAAACTCGTCATTCACGGATAATTTATTAGCAAGAAGAAGCACARCTAAAACTTATATTACCCACCCATCTATTTCTATACCCCCTTCGTGTCACTCAGGGTCATAGGTGGCATTTTTGTTGGAGGGTTTCCCAGCTGTCACAGAGCGGAAGGCTTGTGATGGACGTGTCAACAGTCCGTCACAAAACCCAATGCTGACACAACCATTCACTCTCTCACAGTCAATTTAGAATCACCAATTAACCAAACGAGCAGTTTTGTATCCGTGAGAGAAAAACGTCGTTATTGCAGAAGTTTATCAGAGAAAAGGGGGGAAACTCTGCATAAAGGCTCCGACTGAGAATCAAACCAGCAACCTTTTAACTGTGAGGCTACAGCACTAATCACCACACCACTGTGTGTTTTGTTATATTATATTGTATGATGTTATATTATGTTATATTATATTATATTATATTATATTATATTATATTATATTATTTGTCTAAAACTCCAGTAGAAATACTATAAAACATTTTGTATATTTTGTATTTAAGTTCTCCAAATGTCACTAATTATCATACGTCGTCACAGTTTAAGCATTTGTCTGAATTTTATTTCCCAAAACTTTTWATTTTTATTTTATTTTATTTGTACCCCAAACACACACGTTCTTTACTGTGTGTGTTTGACAGATTTAGGTCTGCTGAGGGTCTCTCAGAGATGTTGGTGTCATAAACATTTCATGAGGTTAAAATTTTATAGCTTATTGGAACATTTCAAATCAGCCTCAACAACTGTACAGATTGGATTTGCACAGATAATTAAAGTATTGTGTCCACAGAGTTTACATTTAGATTAATAAATGGGTGCAATAATGATAAAGTGGATTCAGATATATATTTTTTTTTCTAATATGAAGTTGGTCTGAATTCAACATTCCAACGTTTTGATCATGGAATGAAACCAAGAGTTTGTTTCACTGTTTTGTGATAATTTGTGAACCTGAATTAACATAAAAAATAATAAAAACAAGTTTTTGTATTGGAGCCAATCTGCAGTAAATTTTGTAATTATCGCTGTAATGTTTTCTGTCTGCTGGTGCTTCACTACGTTCCGTTTGACTCCTTTAAGCTAAATATATTTTCTCTCTGTAGTGAAAAGTTTTAATTCTGATTTCCCTCCGGTGCAGGCGATCGAACCACTTTAAGAGCAAACATATCAGGCTGGTTTATAAAGAGGTATAACAGTCATAAATTTTATCATAACTTCATTAGCAACACGTATGAAATAAAAAAACACAGTTGTCTTTGTCTGTAGCCATATACATAATATATATGCACATTTTTTAACCACACATTTCACAAATTTCAAGATATTTCACAACAACAGCACCAAAGAGCGTTAAATTGATTCCTCAAACCCCCCACTAATACATTCATTCATTCATTTCCAAATATACTAATAATCTATTAATTACAGAGGTAAATAATTTACAATAAAATAACAAGTTTAAGGTACAATTCAGTATTTCATACGTTAATGCCATTCATTCTTCTCATCTGCCTAAACCTTTTGTGAAGGCTGTGGGTTTAGATTATTTTTTATTTTATTTTTTTAAAAGGTCATTATATTGTTTCATCAACTGAAAACTCTGTYACTGCAATGTGTTCATCCAATTAAATTGCTTACTTATGCTGAAAAGGTCTTTTATTCTTTCTCTTTTTGTCCCTCAGCAGTTCTTTTGTAGTGCCAGCATGAAAAAAAGTAATAAATAAAAATAACAAAAAATAAAAAATACACCAAATTTCTGAGAATTCACAGTGGTATTAAAAGCACAGACAAAAAGTAAATGGAAAAAAAAACAAACAACAAACAAAACAGACTGAAAAAAATAATAAAAACTGGGGTACTGCATCTTGAAGACAAAAAATACCACAAAGTGAAGATTTTCATCAAATCTTCACCAAACCATAAAGCGAACAAACAACACCGAACAATTCAACTATCAAACTGGATGACAAGACTGTTTTTTTTTTTTTTCAGTTTTTTTTTCTGGGTTCTGTTTTGGTTTGGTCTGAACTGAAACAGATTTTACATGTGAAACATGTGTTTGTACGCTGAGATGCGGTGAACCAAAGCACTAGGTTTGGAGCTGACGTTGGCCTTGCAGCGACCTTCACACACAGAGGCACCTTTTTTTTTCCCCTCTCCGCCTCCATCAAGAAATCAGCCTCTCTCGTTCATTCGGAACGCCGCATTTTACGTTTGAAACGCACTGATTTATCTGATTGGAATCCCACAAACTGATGCTCAGGTGTTTTACATCTACTCACTGCGGAGCCGTGCGTTTACCCAACACAATCGACAGCTAAAACACAGTTCAGTAAAGGGGGATCGTCACTTTCCCGTCAAATTCCTGCCACCAGGCTGAGACTATCCTGCTGTACATGAAGTAGAGCTGCTTCTGCAGCGATGGAGCTTCTTTGTCTTTTAGCAGCTGTACTCTATGATCACATGTGGTTAATCATTAAAACACAAAGTCTGACAAAAACCCCTATTAATGCCATCATTTGTCGTTCTAATTCTTTGTTATAAAAGTCCTGTGGTAACATTTTGTGCAAAATCCATCCACCACCACTCTATGTGTTAGATAAGCCTGTGATGGCCTTTGTTTTTGTTTGTTTTTTTCTTGTTCAAGGCGCCAGATGTGCAGGAATATGTACGCTGTTACAGAACGTGACACCAACAGATGACAGACACTTGGCAAAACCAAACAAAGACAGTAACAACAAAGAAAACAACTCAAACGCATCCAGAGGCAACAGGAATCCGTACTAGGAATTTAAAAAATAAAAATGACAGTCATTCCAAAACTTTCTTGTCCATGGATTCTTTGCCATTGGTCCGTGAGTAAGGCTCAAAGGCGGAGGAGCTCAGGTACCGTGCAGAAAGTTCCTGCAGGTTGCCAGCCAGCGAGCCAGCCATGGAGAGAGGGTTAGATGAAATACGGGTGGCGACGCCGCTGAGTATGGACGGCATGGGGAAGCTGAAAAGGCCGTGAGCGGCCGGTGAGCTCTGCAGGCCCGCCACTGTCCCTGAGCTGGTGACGGCGGGCAGCGGAGGGCTGCCGCCCGCCGTGCTGCCGCTGCCTCCGCTGTTGCCGCCGCTGCCGCCGTTGCCGGACATGGCCATGGAGGGAGGGCGCAGGGCCGTGCCCAGGGTGCCCCCGCCGCAGTGCGGCAGGAGGCCCGGCAGGCCCGGGGGCGTCAGCAGCCGCCCCTGCTCCAGAAGTCTGAGGACGCTACAGGTCGCCGCCGTTTCCGACACCACGGAACGCAACTCCGAGTCCTTCCCTTGGTCCTTCTTCTGCTTGGTACGGCGGTTCTGGAACCAGACTTTGACCTGGAGAAGGAAACGAGAACAGATCCTCAGAAAGCCACATTTGTTTGACAATAATACACACATTTGTGCCACACAGTGCAATATCACCAAGGTGCTCTGAGCTTTCATATTCATCCTGCTGCAGATTGAATTGTACAATCTGATCGTCTCAATACAGAGAGATAATTGGACCATGAAGTTCACAACAGTTTATCTTTACAGAGAGAATGATGTCTCTTTGCAAACACTTTTGTTGGCAAATAAAAATCAGGGAACTGTCTGCCTTTTTCCCATCAATCCCAACACGCCCCCTCATTAATGTATGGAGCTATATATGGAGGGGAGTTTACACAAACAAACAAACAAACACACACACACACACACACACACACACACACACACACACACACACACACA